TATCACCAAAACAAAAACATTTTTCCCATTCAGCAAATGAAATCAATCTTTCTCATCACATCAAAGTTTAAAGTTAAACCCAAGTCACCCGTAAGCAAACTATCACCTTGAGGACCGGCTCCCCTTTGGAGGGGGAATTTGATTGCTTTGCCGCCGCAATCTGCGCTCGGACTGCTCTCCCCGCTGCCGACTTTTCAAATTTCTCCTGCCTACAATTCGCAAGAGCGCGCATCAGCTGAAAATCAAAATCTCCCAAAAACGAATAAATAATAGCACATGGCATCCCAATATAGAATCCTAAAGTCCCATCAATGGAAAAATCCGGAATCAGATAAGGATATTCCAAAATTCCAGGGTTAGCTAAAAAAGAGAAGCTGAAGGACGATGAATCCTTTCAGAGGGAGATAGTTGGAGAGAAGGAAATCACCTAATTCGTGCAGCCTCAGCGGCCTTGGCGCGGGCATCTTCCGACTCAAGGCGATCGGCCTCCCTCTGCGCCTTGGATGAGCCGAAGCAGGAACACAGCGCCATCGATTTCTGCCGTCGAACAAAGTTTCCGGGGGATTGTTCCCTCCAGGGCTCTCTGCAAGTTCGCTTTCTCCGTCACGGATTGTGGGGTACGCTTACGTCGATCGTCGGCTTGACGTTGAATTGTCGGAGGGCTTCCCCGTCGTCTCGATTTAGACAGGCAACAGGTTTCTAGGCCCAAAATGGGTTAAGGTTTTGGAGTAACGCGAGCCTTGGACTAAGCCTTGACCGAGCTCCTTCAGTCCTTCTGCAGTTCGAGTTCTAAGGATTTACAGAGAACTCAGAAAAATTTTCAAATTAATACTTGAATTAAAAATTTTAAATTAAATTCAAAATCACTAAATCTGATTTCAGTAAATTTATAGTTAAAAATGATTCAATCCAGGTCTAAATTAACTTAAATTAAGTACATAAGTTATATTTAAAAATTTCTAAACATAAATTGATGAACCAAACTAAACACAAAATCGAGTGGCTCAACAAGATGAATCTAACGAGCCCAAGATCACCTGAATATATACAATCAAGATATTAAAATATTTAATAGATGATCTACGATGAAAAAGATCAATATAAATTATACGATGGAGTTTTTTTTTTATTCTTAAAAATAGCTTATAAATACAACTTCATTCTCTATAGAAGAAGAAGGTTCAAGAGTAGGGAGAACAACAGAATTTCATTTTCCAATGCTCATTGTCGACGATCACCATTACGACCGCTATCTCCTAACTTCCATCAAGATTTAATCTAATTATTGGGTTTAAACTCTTCATTTATGGACACTCTATAGAAGATGAAGGTTTTATGTCTTCTGCCCCTCCTACTTCTACTCTTAATGCTTTTAAACATGTTAATGTTCATGTTAGCTGTGATGGTAATAATGTTGGTGTCTTGGATAATTTGGATAAGTGTGATATCCCTTCCTTGCTTCCTTCTTTGCCTATTAACAATGTGGCAATTAATGCTGATTATTTTGATGCAAATTATATGGTTTTGGAGTTGGGTCCTAATGATGTTGTAGTGGGGAATGTTGTTGGTATTTCGGTGGAAGTTACTCAATTGACTTATGTTTTACCTATGGGTGATTTTGTTTATGTTGAGGAGGAAGCTACTCCTTCAGCTATTGTTCTTCCTGTGAATATCGATTTTTCTAACAAAGAAATTAAGTGTTTACAAAAACATGAATGACAATAATTATTGCATTAACTTTATAGCTAGTCCAATTTATGTTGATGTTGTGGCGGATTCGGGTGATATTTATGTTTTTTTTCTTGCTGGGGGTGGTGGAGCCACCGATGATGTGGATACTTTGGATAATGTAGCTTATGGGATGTCTGCTTAGCCAATTCATGCTGTGGTGGTTAATAAGGATACTTATGAAGTTGTTGTGGATTTTGTTTATGTTCCTTTGGGGCCTATGGTCGAGGATGTTGTTACTCTTTCCATTACTTTGGCTTTGAACTTACCTATTAATGTTGGGGTTGGAGTCGATGCTTTTGCTCTTAATGGTGTTGTTGCTTCAGTTGATGCTAAGCATGTTGTTTCGAATGTTGAAATCATTGTTCCTCTCATTGATGTTCATATTTCTCTTATTGCTAATGATGCTTTGATAGCTCAATTAGCTGATTATTTGAAGGAACATGAGGTAGGTCAAGGTAATTGGCTTGAAGATTGTGATTCTACATTTAATTGGGATGCTATGGAAGTGAGAGATGTGCATGGGATGCACTCCAAGGAAATTTATGATCTTAATGTGATTCAAAAAATTGATAGTTACTTTAAAAAAATTGGTAAATCTAAATGGAGGAAATTCAAAAAGAAATGATTTGCTTTTTGGATTTTATTTTCTCCTTTGCTTGGGCTTTTCTTGCCAAGGGGCTGATGAGTCTTGTTTCAGTTGTCTTTTGCTGCTAATGGTTCATTGGGCCTTTGTTGGTTGATGTCATTGTGTGGTTTTTGCGATCTTGCTATGTTTGTTGGTGAGATGGGGGTTTGTTGTTTGTCTTTTTTTTTTCGGAGCTGTTTGGGCTTTCATTTTTGTTTTTGTGGGTTGCTTTTTGGTGGCTCCTTGATGACTTGGCTGGATGCCTAGTGGTTTTGTTTATTTTCTCCTCTTGCAGATTTTCTTGCATGTTCCTTAGTGGCTCCTCTCCCTACTGGGGGCTGGTTTGTTAATCCTTCTTCCTAACTTTGAACTGTTGTTGTCGCTTGATTATGCTTCTCGTTTGTTTTTCTATTAGTTTTAATTTCTTTTTCTTCTTATGGTTTTGATTGTAATAGTTATGATCCGTTGGCTCTTGGGTTTTACTTCAAAGATTGTATTTTTAATGAGCGTTTGGATCTTTTAAAGACTTGCAACCTCCCCTTTTAATTAACATGTAGGTCTCATTGAG